GCCCGACAAACGACATTGTGGGTGGGAGTCCCCTCCACAAATGCCAGGACTGTGCTTCCGTTTTATCTTCATACGAGCTCATTCTATAACCACCAGCAAAATAAATAGTATCTTCTGAAATGTTCAAAAATTTACTGGTGTCGAGAAGTCCACTGAATTTGTATTTTCTCGCTTCTGCTTAGGCAGTATTAAGCTGCGGGAAACTACGGCAAATTTTCGGTAGAAAAAAACTCTTTATTTCCGTCCCTCGTAACGAAAAGGTGGATAAATCCAGTTGGTAAATGTAGAAAAAAATCTTAACACGTTATATGGCTAGAATACGTTTTGTGGGTCCTTGATACAGAAAAATCGATTGGCGGCAAAATGTCTGTGTGTGAACAACTCTAGCGTTTAAACAGTTCAACCGATTTCTCCAAAACTAACATTTCCCAATCGATCTGGTTAAAATGCATACATACGTTTGTTTGAACTGCAATTGAGTATGACCCGGTAGCAGTCATCGCGACATCATAGATATCGCGGCCCTTTATTTTGAAACCGAAATTTTAATTTTGGGGGTCCTTTTAAATGAAGCTCCTGGGACATTTAAAAAAAGCATACAATTTTTTGATTAAATTTTCTTGTGTAGTGTAAAAGACGTTTAAGAGAATGGTGGAGGTATAGTATTAAAAAAAAAAAGATGTTTCTAGCGTGATGATGGGGCAAATTGAGCCTCGAAACATCGCTTTGTACAAATATAAATAAATTACATTGCAGTATTAACTGCAATACATACCAATTGCAGTATTAACTGCAATAGGTTCTTCAAGAAACTGTTCCTCTCATGAATGGCTAAAATAATTTTCCTTGGTATATTTCATTAATCTCAAACAGAAATTTCACAAAAACTATTAATTTTTTTAAACAAATGTACATCACCTTTGTTAATGAGCTGTTTATTTAAGAAAACTGTCTGGGGCACAAATCTCTATACTCAATTTTGTAGTTTTGAAAAAAAATTTTAATTAAAAAAAAAGAAAATGGGACTAGCACCATATTTTTTATCGTCCCTTATTACAAATGTGGAGAAAATTTAAAGAAAAACTTTGGAGCGATTTTTGAGAAAAAAAAAGTCTATATTTCGGGCAAAATTCTACTACTCATGTTTTACGAAAACTTGAACACGACCTTATTTCAAAACCTATCTTTAAGGAACAGATTTAATAAAGGAAAAAATCTCTATCTGTAATGTTTTAGTGGTAGCAGAAACCGAAATAATTTTTAATTTCTGTAATTTTCGCAAAATCGTGGATTTAAACGAAAATGGCATCTGTCACATTCTCTTAAACGTCCTTCACACTACCCAACAACAAACATTAATCAAAATATTTGAAACCATTCTTTCAAAATTTTGAAAATGTTTAAGGGGCTTCATATAAAGTACTCCTTAAAATTAAAATATCGGTTTCAAATTCCAGGGACCGCGACATAAGCCAGAATGATTGGGGAATATCAATTTTGGAGAAAATCGGCAGAACGGTTTATGTGCTAGCGTTGTGCATAAGACGGACAGACAAACAGACGTTTTGTCTTCAATTGATTTTTCGGTAACACGCACGCACTGGGTACTGGCTACACCACGTGTAAGGGGATTTTTTCTAAATTTAGCAACTGGATTTATCCACTTTTTTCGTTACCACGGCCCGGCAATAGAGGTTTTGAGTTTTCCGGCACACGATTCGTTAGGGTGAGAAAGCAAAATTGGTTATATGCAAGATGCATTCATCACTTGAAAAAGTGCATACATAAAAGTGGTTGAAAGTAAATTAAAAATATTGGCAGTAATTTAGTTCTCGATAAATAGTGGGACTAAATAGCTAGCTGCAACGTGTGTTGTAATGAGAAGAAAATAAGCTTTTTTGTAAAATGACTGAAGGTTCATCCTTTCCGTCTAGAATGTACTGCAGGTGTTACGCATTTAGCAAATCAAATATATTTTCCATTTTCCATTGCTTTTGCTTAGTCGCTCACCACACTGCCAGAAGAATCAATTTAAGGAAAATATGCTTTTGATTTTTTTCCTTTAAACGGAAATCTAATGCGCAATTTGAGCGAAAATTGATATTTGTGTAAGTCAGTATTCCTTTGAATAAGATTTGTGGGGTTTCGCCATAGATCTTCTAAGCATCAATCTAGGGACAAAATAAAATTATATTTTTGAGAATGTGAATACTTCTTTTCGACTTCCAGTAACTACTCATATTCACGACTTTTCGTGTATTCGGCAAGTCTTACCGATATTTTAAACGTCACAACTATTTTAGGCACATAGACTAGCATCACAGATCCGATTGGGCAGTAGCCATTTGAAAACTGAAGGTCCGTTTCGTTTCTGGTCACATTTATTGCAAATCTTAGTTTAAAATTAGTTTTAATTTCCCAAGTCTCAGTTACTGATTTTTGTCTCCTAGTCACGTCGATATAATTTTGGCCATTCTTTTTCTCATAATACTTTCGATATAATTTTAAATGTCCCTCCCCCAACGTATATTAAAACCTAGCAAATTATTGCTATAGCATGATTCACGTATTTCGACTTTTGGTCGTGCAGAACTTTTAAAACACTATTTCTTTGTAGAGACGGAGTAAGTAAATACAAGTAAGTAGATAGATAGTAATGATAGATTTGAAGTAAATAGAATAAATATATTGTATTTATTATATATATATATATATATATATATATATATATATATATATATATTGTATTTTCTTTAAAGCTCTGAACTAGTTGAAAATGAGCGTGTCTAACGTATTCCTACTAGTGGGTTTGTGATAACGTCCTGTAGATGACACATTGTAGGAGACCCTGTGAAACTACTTTCGTTTCCTCTCTCCCGTCTCTTAGCGTTACGAAGCGCACGTTTCATTGGGTCATGTTTCTCCAACTTTTACTTCCCTTTCCGCCCTCTTATAATGAAAATTTCATGACACGATCATATCCGGACCCCAACAGTAACATGAAATGACAAACTGCAGCTGTTTCTTCTGTGCTCTTAAAGAAGTGTTCGGCAAATTGTGATTCAGATGTTAAGGATTTTGGAATAACCACTTCGTATTTTCATTATTTTAACGCTGAGTTTGAATGCAGAATCCATACGATTTGTAGCCATCATCTCCTCCTAGGAGCGCAGAGTGTTGGGCACGCCCCTTTGGGGAATCAATGTTGGAGGACCTAAAAAAATTATGCGTCATATAATGGCGCCCACAGACGACCGGATATCCGTCGCCATTGGCCACTGAACGCGGGGTCTTCAAACGCCCCCTACAGCCATTCCGGGATTTGAAACTTCTTTCCCAATCCTTGAAAGCATTCCAAATTACTAAGTTGGTTTTCGAATTAATATTCAGCCATTTTAGTGGATTAGTATCCACTTAAAATTTACGTGATACGTTGTTTGAATTCGTTGTTCGCTTATCATATCCCCATGTGGTTAAATAGTCATGTACACTTATTTTGTTTTAATACTGAAAACGGCGCTTCACTTCTTCCCGGAATAGTAGCATTAATTTATATTTAATAATGCGGTGTAATATAATTTGACAATAACGGCACAAAACAGGGGGATAATGTACTTTTTTTCCAAAAATTCGAATTAAAAAAATAAAACGAAAATAAAACTTTAAATTTTCAAACTATTCCAAAGATTTTACGTCGATTTAATTGACTTATTATTTATTCACAATTTTTTTTAAATAGGAAAGAGAAGTAATGATTATTTTATTATTGAAATACAATGTGCCGCCCGCTCTTCGCAGCCTTCTTCAGGACAGAGGAAAAGTTCTGACAATTTATTTGGGACAGGAATTGAAGGTCGGTAATAAACAAAAGCTCGAAACACGAGCGTTTTCTAGAACAAAAGAAAAATACTTTTTTGAATCAGAAAATGAATATATGCAAAAACATTGTCGTAGGTTTGCATGAAGCAGGGGTGTACGGCTTAGTGGGTCTTACAAGTTTTGTCCTTTGCTTTGTAGGGGCGCAAGAAACGTGGAGAACCGCGCCAATGCCGTCGAGGGCAAGAAAGCGCACTCGCGGCGCGGCGCTCTCGCGTGCCGCGGCCTCGGGCGCGCATGCAGCCGCCCGCCCACGCGATAGCGCTATCAGCCGGCGGCGGCCGCAGGCCAGCGCGCGCCGAGCGGAGCGGAGCGCAGCGGAGCGCAGCGCCCGGGGCGCTGAGCGCGCACTTCCGC